GTGCCGGTGCTGCTGCGCACGGCCTGTGTGCCCAAAGATGGGCCCGGCTCGCCCCCGAGATCGGGAGCCGGCCCGCACACCCAGAACCACCCATCCTAGCCTTCAAACAAGCACCAAACCTCACTAGCCTCTTCAACAGAAGCAAAATTCCTACAGCCCAAAACACTGAATGGATCCAGACCATGCCATAACAAGAAATGCAAAACTTGCCAACATATCTCCACCACCCCCACAATGACTACACCCCACAACAGAACCTTCAGCATTCCTGGATCTTACAGCTGCACCTCCAGAAATGTTATACATCTCATCCAATGTACCAAATGCCCTGATGGAAAATTCATAGGAAACACCAAACAACCGTGCACCAGAATGAATGCACACCAGACATCTATCAGAGACAAGAATACCCAATTACCAGTGGGGGTGCATTTCTCACAAGAAAACCACTCTCTCTCCAATCTCTCAGTTCTATTCCTCAAAGGGAACTTACAAAACACTTTTCACAAACAAGCCTATGAATTTCACTTCATCAACCTCCTGGATACAAAAACTCATGGACTAAATATAGACATTGGATTTATGACACATTATACCTGCCTGACATCTGACTCCCCAGGGACCACTCCACTATTTACCTGCTACATTCATCCCCCTCCCCTCCCCTAGCCGGTCGCTCACCCATTGACTCAATTTATATCTTCACTGACTGCCTGTCTTGCATGCATACCAGCCTCTGGCATCTTTACTATTCATTCCAGCCAGGAAGAGCGCACACAGATTGCAGATGCTTCCTCAGTCTGACGAAGGGTTTTTCATAATTTCATAGTTGGTAGGGTCAGAAGGGACCTGAGCAGATCATCAAGTCCAACCCTCTGCCATGCCAGGAAAGAGTACTGGGGTCAAACAACCCCAGCAAGGTGTTCATCTAGCCTCCTCTTAAAGACCCCCAGGGTAGGAGCCAGCACCACTTCTCTTGGAAGTTGGTTCCAGATCCTAGCCACCTTGACAGTGAAGTAGCGCCTCCTGATATCTAGCCTGAATCTACCCTCTGCCAGCTTGTGACCATTATTTTTTGTCACTCCTGGTAGTGCTCGGGGGAAACAGGGACTCCCCCAATGCCTGCTGGTCCCCCCTGACCTGTTTGTAAACAGCCACTAGATCCCCCCTCAGCCTTCTCTTGTGGAGGCTGAACAGGTTCAGGTCCCTTAGCCTCTCCCCGTAGGGCCTGCCCTGCTGACCCCTGATCATGCAGGTGGCCCTCCTCTGGACCTCTCCATGCTGTCCACATCCCTCCTGAAGTGTGGTGCCCAGAACTGGACGCAGTGCTGCAACTGCAGCCTGACCAGTGTCGCACAGAGGGGGAGGATCAAAACCTGAAAGCTTTTAAACCTGAAAGCTTGCTAAGAAAAAATGTTCCAACTATTTAGTTGGTCTATTAAAATATACCAGATTTACCCAAATAACCTTGCCTGCCTATGTCCTTATACCAACATGGCTACAACCTACACTCATGCGCAAGGGATGTATTTATTAAGTAGTAAAAGTACGAGTACATACTCAACACAGTAAGTCACTTTAATTCAGGTTAATTTGGCCTTTGGAAAGAAAAATGTACAGGAATTTTACTGAGAGTGATGTCTTATGTTATCTGCTCTCTTAGTCAACTTCATCTTGGGATAATTTTTTGCAGTGCAAACTTGTTTCCCTCCTCTCCAGCTAATGACCTACTGCTGTAATAGCACCTACTGCAAGTGGCTAACTTGAGAGCTTATTGGGTCCCCACTCCTTACTAGAGAGCAATACTTGGTAGTGGTACTATTGGTTAAGTTACTCTGCAATAACGCGTTTCATGTCTGTACTGCTCAAAACTGGAGCCTGGCCTGGGCCAGAGCCATTCTCCGGCTGCCCACCAGGCTCCATGTGCCCAGATTGCCGCCGCTGGAGCCCTGGGAGACCCACAGGACCCTAGATAAAGCTGCTGGGGCCAGCTCAGGTGCTAGCCCCAGCCTCCCCTGGGGCAACTTGTCATGCACCAGACAGCATGTGCAGGTACATTCCCCAGGGACAACTAGAAGGGCCTCAAATACATGCCACTGCTAGTTGTCCCCAGGGAATGCACATTCCCACTTTTGGGGAGGCACCATAAGGAAACGTTGGGGACACCTAGATAGCAGAAGCCAAACACACAATTGATATAAGACAGAAAATGGGCTAACTGGTTTTAAAGTGTTTAAGCATATACCTAGGACAGGAGTCAGCAACCTTTAAGCAGTGGCAGACTGAACTGACAAGAGTTTAGTGTAGGACAGGCCACCACCACATTCTATGGATTCACCTACTGCCAAGTACCACTAGCCTGCTCCTGACCCTATCACCACCAATCCACTTTCCCCACTGCTGAACTGCCGCTACCATCTGAACTCTGCAGGCTGGTTACAATCCCTTTACAGGCCATAAGTTGCTGACTCCCCTGACCTGGGATAACAGAGTTCCCTTGACCATTCATCCTTGGAAAACAACAGAAATTTGTGATGCCTGTTGAACTGTGAGCTGCTTAGCACACCCTTTGTTCTGCAGTAGGAGGGAATAAATAGCTAGATCAATGATAGCCAATATGCACACTACTGCTTCAAGTTTTATTTATAGCAACGTGAAGTACATGTTTCTTCTCAAATAATGAAGTGAAACACGAAGGCAAAATTATTTCAGCAAGCATCAGAAAACACACAACCAAATTGTTATCAGTGTCATATTTCCTAATGAAAGAACAGCAGTAGGAAAATACTTCTCTCCCCTGACTAACAGGTAAGAACAAACATGTGACTACATTCGAGCCTGGACGGCATAAAGAACTCGGTCATCATAAGTTAATCAAAGATTCCATTGCTACTCATTTTACGCACTAAGTTTCTTTAATGTTTGCTACTGTTGCTTACTAAAGCAAAAAAAAAAAAAAAAGTTGCTGGCACTGCAGTTCAAGCTTTCAACTGTTCCAAGAGTTATTCTTCCCTTTGGAAGTCACTAACTGCTCTCGATACATTTCTAAATTAGATTTTCCTAAATAGTTTTGTAGGTCCTGTGTTGATGGCTGCTGGCCTGAGTTATCATCAAGTGGAAAGATCTGATAATTTCTGTAAGTACTGAAAATGACTAGGCAGAGACTAATCTTTTTACACAAGTGCTATTGTTGAGTGCCTAGAAGCCAATAGTAGGTATGTAACACTTTTATGGTGTTTGTTGACAACTATTCCTCACACTGCCACTGTGAGGTAAATAAAGTAGGTGACATTTGCACTATAGATGGAAAAACTAAGCTAGACAGCTTCAAACGTTTATATCCTATCACTAAATAAGGGAAATTTCAGCAGAACCATGTAGTTTTAAAGAATTCTATTCATTCTGTTACACAAGGGTTTAGATTTATTATTAAGTACCTCTCACAGAACTAAATGAGCAGACATTTGGGTTGAGTGCAAGTACTTTCATTAGATGCATTAAAGTATTTTCTGCAGTGGAGCAACTCATTAGAAAGCCAGTAGACACATTATTACAAAAATGATTTCAGAATAGAACTGGTGCTGTAAAGAGTCTGTGCAGAACTCTGCTTTACTTTCTGCAGGCTGCATATCTCGAAGACACATTCTCCCAGTTGATCACATTCCAGATGGCTTTTAGATAGTCAGGCCGAACATTTTTATACTGCAGATAGTAGGCGTGTTCCCACACATCAATTCCTAACAGAGGAACCAAACCTAAAAGAAGAGAAAATGTGTTTTGGATAAACAACACACATTAAGACTCCAAAGTAAGGCTCTAAAATGTTTCCAGTTTCACTAAAGCTCCATATTTCAAAGACTTATCCAAGGGCCATGGTGAACTCTCCAAGACACAGGTGCATATTGCTACATTTTACATAGTTGCTTCCTATACAACTGGAACTGAAGTGGCAAATTTTGAAACACACAGCTATGTATACCCACAGCCCTAAGGGCAGGACTGAGGCCTTAAAAAAAAAAAAAAGAAAAAAAAATATGGTTCTGAACAGGATTAAAACCTTTCCTGAAAAGCCATCTTAAGAAACACTTGTAATGCAGAACGTATTAGTAATGCATCATTAATACTTCCAGAAAGACTTCTAACTGTGGATCAGATGTCAAGTAAATCATTTTGTTTCCTTGCTTTAATGGGATTAAGAACTGAAAAAAGTTCAACAAAACAATACCTAATTGGGAATTTCTAGAAAGGAGACTATTCACTGAAGCAAAGAATTACAGTCTGAGCTAGCTAAAAATAGCGTTTGCAGATGTTAATCCAGAGATTCATCTGCTGTGCAAACACTACATGACTGATGTCAATCTTACTCCCTCCAGAGCCAGAGAGAAAGTTGCAAAGGGTCCATTTTTAAACTTGGAATATAAAAAGGTCAAAAGAAGTCATACAAATGACAATGTCTAATAAGATGCAGCTTTTTTTTCAACACTATGAAGTCTGCCTTAACTGCTATTCTCACAGCACCTTAAAATGAAACCTGTTTTCATGACAACTGGTCAGAAAGCTTTTAAAAAGGGTTCATAACTAGTCTTTTGCTAAGGACTGTCACAGCATATACCTCTTTATTATTAGCAATTCAAAAGGACAGCATTCTCTTTCCAAGTTTGAAAGAGTTAAGTTTCTTCAGATATTAACACATCCCCATCCACATTCAAGTTAGGTTGCAGTAAGCTCTCCAAGTGCTTCTTCCTGGCTCACTATAGAGCCTACACAGAGAAAGGGGAAACAAAATTCACAGGAGGAGGTGCCAAAAAGTATAAATTAAAAATAGAATGTCAGCTCTTCCTGCTGTATCAGGTGTCCCTCACCAACTGCTTATAAAAGGAAGTTCAGAAGTCAAATTTAAGCCAATGCCCCTGTAAAATAACTCTGTCCTCAGCAAATTTTGTGAATGTGACCCCCCGAAACCCCAATCTTCTGTACAAGCTGAAAGAGAGGGTCTTTGTAAAGCTGAAGATTTATTTTCCGTCCACTTCTAAAAGAACAAGGATCTTGCTGCTTCCCTTGCCCATCTAAACTCAAGTTTAGAATCCCACTGTTAATGAAGAGAGAGATTTATGCTGTTCTTTGCATGTGCTGTGATATAAAGAAAAGAAAAAACAAACAAACACACTTGTTACTTTTAATGAAGGTTATATGTAGGCCAGGTGCTCTACTTCTGACTGGCAGGTCTCCCCATGGGTCCAGAAATTTGGCAGTGGATGAGCAGTGGCACTGCTCTCCTGCTGCCAAAGCTCATGGGAAGCCCTGAGCCCAGCATGCTGGATCTCGCACCCGATCCCAGCACACAGGGCCAAGGCGGCCCAATCACAGCATAAAAGGGGTGAGAGGAGTCAACCACCCCGCCTCGAACTCCCAGGACCCAATCTCAGTGTGCAGGGGGCAAGGCCAGAGCCTAGTCCAGCCCACAAACAGGCCCCACATGACCAAAAGGTTGAGCGCTACTGAGTAGATAGTAAATAGGGTCGAAACTAAAGAGGGAAAAAAAGCTTAGTTTCAAGGCTTCTCTGCAGCTACAACAGTTTGAAATAAATCAGAGATTAAAACCCTGACCTGTTGTTCCTTGTAGAGGATCCTGATTTGCACAGGCAGCAATTTGCAGGCGTCCTTGTTCCTTGTTGAAGCCGAGCCATCCCCACCCTGAGCCTTGAACGCCGACTGATACTGCTGTGAGCTTCTCCTTGAAGCTTGCAAAGGAACCAAAGTCCCGCTTGATGGCTTCCAACAATTCCCCTTAAAGGAAAAACAAGTGCTTTATGGTACTTTTCCAGGTAGCTTTATTTTTAAAATGTGAGAAAAGCTTGGAAAGAATCAGAAACAATTAGCTCCCTACCCCCCACACAGTCAGCACTAACAGAAGAAAATAATTTTGTGCATAGGCAGACAAGGTTCCTTGGGTGAATTTGATATCTTTTATTAGACCAACCCAAATGGTTGGAGAATAGTTATTAAGCAAGCTTATTTTATGTTATTTTTATGAACTTATAGAAAGGTTAAATCTGAGCCTGGGGACCTACAGTAAACCCCCACAACTATAGCTATGGGGCCTTTTTTACCATCTCTTCCGGATGGAGTTCCACCCACATTCCCATCTGTATTATTCAATTGTATGATCACTGACAGAGAAGGGCAGATTAAATCTGTTTCTCAAAACTCAGTAGCAGTATCCTAAAACAAGCCTCAATTTTCTAATTTTGTAGTTTGAAAATAGAGGAAGTCTAAGCTACAGATGCATCTACACCAACTTTCAAAGCATCTCAACACCTGCAGAGCAACAACAAAAAATCTTTAACAGTTCCCAAATCTTTCTGGAAACTTGGATTAGCAGTGAAATAAAGGTGACATTAAGATCATTAAACTTGAGAGTTGTCAGAGATGAAAGCTAGTCACACCTCTGAGCTGCACCCTCAGACTGACTCCAGATCTTATTCAGGGTGCACTTTACAATTTCTTTCATAACCATGAGGGTTAGAGACTTGAAAGGTTATGTTCTGGCAGCCACCAACAAAAGTAGTAAGTGGCCTATTACATGGCCCATTTCAGCCTCGATTGTTCATTCTGCAGTTGATTGTACCTTTCTTCAGGGATTGCTATGTACCAAACACTAATATCATCTCAGAGATCTCTTACACAAGTAGTTTCAGGTAAATCATTTATTTCTACATGAACCAACCAACATAGCAGCTTTTGCCACTGTAAAAATTCAAATTTATACAATCAAATACTTACACATGTAATCAATTTTAAACAAAAAAAACCCCACTAGTCATATGCTCCAAGTCTCCACTTTCTAGAGTACTTGCAAAAATGTGCATCTGTTTACATAATAAGTAGTATTAAGCTCTCAAATCAGGAGCAAGGTCCCATTAAGTTAGGTGGCGAAGAAACGTAGAAGACCATATGCCTATTCTGAAGGATCTTAATATTCCTTCCCCTTTAAGGTGAACAAAAACTAAAAGTAAGAGATATCTTTGCAGGCCAGGTCACTGCAATTCTATTTGTTAATACCAATATTCTATCAATAAGCCATCAAATGTTAATACTAACCTTGAGGCTCTCCTCCCCCACTGGGAGAAAGATTTGTCCAGAAGATGGTGTGATTGATATGACCCCCACCATTGAACCTTAGCGCAGGCTGAAGAGATACTTGAGTTGTAACATCACCTGAAGGCACAAAAAAGCAAATAAAATCAAATGGAATAGAGTGTTGCCACAGGAATCACTAAACTGGATCTTATCTTGCATTAAGGGTGCTTATCTACAGGTTAGTGTCAGAACAAGTTATGAGAATTTGCTAATTTGTGATATTCATGTTCATCAGCCACTATCACACACTCTGCACATCATAAAACTGTCTCAGCATAGATCCCACATCATAACACATTATACCTCAATGCTGGCAACACTTTGCAACTGTCAACTCTTCCTTATAATGAAAACCTAAGTTAATGTGCATAGTGTACTACTGTTTGGCAGGATAAGTAGAAGAAATTAAAATACCTTAAACACACAAAGAGTACGTAACTCGCAACAATGTTTGAGGATTACCACTTATGAGCATCAAATACTAGTATCATCACAGTGTGGTCATAAGTGGCTCTCTCCTGTTAGCTGTAAAAATATTCAACACTAAGTTCACAACACTACAAAGTTAATGTTCATTGGGAAAAGAAAACACTGTGCTTCAGTGTTTTCCATTCTTGAACAAACATTACATGAGTTATAATTAAACTAGTTGATAGAAGTACAACATAACACAGACCAAGAGAAACACTGCTTTAACAACATTACCTGCAGAAACAGTTTCATTCTAGTTCAGGCTCCTCAACTGGGTCTACAGAGTTTATTTCTTTAAGCTACATGATAACTTAGACTCAGCTCCTTCCTAAACACGTTTTTAAAACTGAACTCTTATGAGGGTCAAAACTTATGCTATCAGAAGTATTGATTTTATGGGTATCCTAAATCAGCATAGGCAAGCCTTTACTAACACTGCTGTCTGTTAAAACTTCAGTAGCAGAATACTTAAAGTTTACAGAACATCACCTACATAGACTAAGTCTCCAACTCCCAGCAAAGTCACCAGAAGCTGCTTATATATCTATCTAAAGCCAGTATTTGGTCTGTACTGTTAAGATAGAACAGGGCCAACTTTAAATGCTGCAGATAGCAGCCACCAGCAGTTACAACTCTCCTGCATGTGTTTAATCAGTAACCATTAGTAACAACAGTAGCATACCTGGGGTTTTTTTTGTATTTTGCTTTCCCTTCCTTAATCCTGCTGCTTTAATTCTCTTCTGTAATGCACTTTTCCTGGAAGAGCTACTGAATGGAAAAAGCACTGCTCAGGCCTGACAGGAGAAACTCATTCCATACCCACCCCCTTTTAGGTTTTTTTTAAAGAAAACTTCAAGTGTCATTCCTACTCTTAAGTTGTTAAATCAGAATATAGTCAAATATCTGAAGATTACTGGCCCATGGCCAACAGTTCTGAGCAAGGAACACACTGTGTGAAGCATCTCATTTTGTTCTCCTGTCAATCTTGATTTTAACTTTAATTTCCTATTAAAAGTCCTAACCTACTGGCATTCAAACTGTCAAATAACACTGTGCAATATATAGGGATGTATTAACTTCTATTACTATAGCAGGTTAATCTGTAGAGTGAGAGCATCTTAAATTATGCCAAAATTCTTCAAATAGAAAAAGAAGCTCATCAGTCAAAAGGCAGATCAACTGCTGGTTTTCATCTTGCTGAAGATAAATTTCATTCATTTTTAGCAGTCTAGTAAACTCAGATTTAGAACACAAACTATATTTCTAATGTTTTAGTGTACTCATATAACTAATAATGGTATTAGCACTTCATCTTGCTGCTACAAACTCTGTGGAATTCAAAAATCAGGTAAGAATAAAAACAATTGCAAAAAGTTGTTCTAGCTGTAAAAACAACTTTTCATCAGAAAATCTCAAGGCAATTTCTCAATGACAATCTGTAGCACAACTCAGAATAAGATCCTGCTGTCCTGACTGACGGTCACATGCATTAGCTTCAAGGTCATCCCATTGCCCTTAAGGGAAGCTAGGAAGCCAAACTTACACACACATTCCTGGAGCTTCTTTTTTACTACAAAGTATGTTTTTTTCCAGAAAGACTACAGCTATCAATCCAGAAATACTAGCTAGTTAAACAGCTAACTTCCTGATGTAAATGTGAAATTGCCTCAGTCATTTAAAAATTCTTGTTATACCAGTTTCCTACTAGTCCCAGGTAGATGTGGGGTAAATGCATTAAATCAATTATGTTTACTTTGAATTTACATACTATAAAAGAGCAGAACTCATCCATTTAACACCATATAACCAAATATCAATACTGGAACCAACCATAAAAGCAATCCCTTCAAACACTATACCAAGCTAACTGGGGAAAAAATTATAATTAACAACAGCAACTGTCCTTTAAGCACCGTACACTCCTTTGGTAAGGATCCTCACATGCATCTTCCAGTTTCACAGTTGTTAGGGTCAGAAGGGACCGAACTAGATCATCAAGTCTGACCCCCTGCCCTGGGCAGGAATGAATACTGGGCTCATATGACCCCTGGTCAGTTTGAGCTCGTACGACCCCAGCTAGGTAATTGTCAAGCCTCCTCTTAAAGAACCCTAAGGTAGGAGCCAGCACTTCACTTGGAAATTGGTTCCAGATCCTAACCACCCTGACTGTGAAGTAGTGCCTTCTAATGTCCAGCCTGAACCTACTCTCAGTCAACTTACGGCCATTATTCCTTGTTACTCTGGGAGATGCTCGGGGGAACGGGGTCTCTTCCATTCCCTGCTGGTCCCCACCTGGTAAGTTTATAAACTGCCACCAGGTCCCCTCTCAGCCTTCTCTTGAGAAGGCTAAACAGGTTCAGGTCCCATAGCCTCTCCTCATAGGGTCTGCCCTGCTGTCCCCAGATCATGCGGGTGGGCCTCCTCTGGACCCTCTCGATGCTGGCCACATCCCTCCTGACATGAAGCGCCCAGAACTGGACACAGTACTCCAACTGTGGCCTGACCAGTGTCGCATAGAAGGGGAAGATCACCTCCTTGGCCCTGCTCATGATGCATCTGTGGAAGCATGACAAGGCGTGGTCAGCCTTACTAACTGCGTCCTCACATTTGCGGCCCATGTTCATTTTGGAACCGATAATGACTCCAAGATCTCTTTCTGCCACTGTGCTCTCAAGAAGGGAGTTCCCCAGCCTGTAGGTATGCTGCTGGTTCTTACTGCCCAAGTGCAGTACCCTGCACTTGTCAGTATTGAATCCCATCCTATTCACATTCGCCCACCCCTGTAACCTGTCCAGGTCCAGCTGTATCCTGTCCTTCCCTTCTAGGGTGCCCACCGCCCCTCAAATCTTGGTGTCATCAGCAAATTTGAACAGGGTGCTTTTCACCCCCTGGTTCAAATCACTAATAAAGAAATTGAACAGTACGGGCCTGAGAACCGAGCCTTAGGGGACTCCACTGCCCACATCCCTCCAGGTCGAATATGACCCATCTACCACCACCCTCTGGGTGTGGCCCCTCAGCCAATTTGCGATCCATCTGACTGTGAAGGTATCAATGCCTCAGTCGCCTAGCTTTTTAATGAGAATGGGGTAGGAGAGAGTGTCAAAGGCCTTTCTGAAGTCCAGAAAGACTACATCCACCGCGACACCTGTATCCAAGGATTTTGTGACCTGATCGTAGAAGGCGATCAGGTTGGTCTGACAGAACTTGCCCCTAATGAACCCATGCTGGTTGCACTTGAGCATCATCCCCCCTGCTGGTCCTTCACAGATGTGCTCCTGGACAATCTTCTCAAAGAGCTTCCCCAGGATTGAAGTAAGACTAACAGGCCTATAGTTGCCTGAGTCCTCCCTTTTTTGAAAATGGGGACCACATTGGCCTTCTTCCAGTCTTCTGGCACCTGGCCAGAGTACCACGAGTGCTCGTAAAGCCATGCCAGGGGGCCCGCGATGACCTCTGCCAATTCCCTCAGCACCCTGGGGTGGAGAGTGTCTGGACCTGCTGATCTGAACATGTCCAGCCCCTCCAGAAGTTCCCTAACTCGATCCCCCTTGACCCTAGGCCTCTCCTGAATCCCAGTGGGGGAGATGTCCCCGGCCCCTGCACAAAAAAATGGAGGCAAAGAATTTGTTAAAAAGGTCTGCCTTTTCCTCTGGTGCAACCACCAGATTGCCAAGCATATGCTGCAGGGGTCCCACGTTACCCGGTGCCTTCTTCCCCATGTATTTTGGTGAAATGTCTGCCTGTAACATGAGCAGCTTCCTTTGTTTGTTAGTTGTGACCACACACACCTTTTGCCAGTGCCTCTTTGTATTTCTCCTCTGCAACATTCAGATTATTCACATAGGTAGCATGATGTTTGCTGTGGTGCAGCTGCATGATTTCTGCACTAATATGGGGTACCAGGGCACCATAGTCATAAGGTAAGTCTGGAAGAGTGTGCTTTTGCCTGGAGGCCGAGCATGCCAACGGCACGATGAACTTTGTGCTGCTCCTGAAAAAGATAAAGATAAAAAGAAAAGAAATACAGGAAATTTTATCTGGTTAATTAAATATATATACATATACTGAATAAAATACTTTGTAAATGTTCTCATATGCCATTTACTCACACTGAGCTGTCTTACTCGAGATGTAGCCTTGTTAATTTGGCTCATACTCTGAGGCAAACTGCAAGTAAGATCCATGTTTGCAAAAAAACTGTGCACCAAAACATGAAGACACACAGGTCATATGAAGGACACAGGGACATACAGCATAAAGAGCTAAATCTTTCAATAAAAATAAATTTTAAAAAACTATTTGCTTATTTTATAATTTCTATTAGTTTCA